TCAGTAGAGGCGCTGGCTCCCCATTGCAACCAGAAACCCAGTTCCCACCAGGACAACATGGGCTGAAGGACTGTCCTCTCGGAGAGCGCTCAGAGTGAAGGCTCAGCTAGTCTAATCTTTAAACTTGCAGTGCTGTGGCCTGTCCCACGCCGCTGCCCCAGTTTGTAGCATTAACTTCTCTAAGCCAGCCTGGAACCCTAGTCATTTCATTCTTTAAAATGCACAGAAGTAGAGCAATGTCTCTGGGGCTGGAGAGATGGCTCAGTAGGGAGGAGTACTAGCTGTTCTTCTCAAATTCAATTCCCAGCATCCTGGCGATCTGATGCCATCTTCTAACCTCTTCAGGCACGAGCCATGCACATGGTTCACATACATATATGCAGGCAAAATACTCATACACATTAAAAGACAGTAACAATAAAAATAATTTTGAAATAAAATTTAAGAAATAAGTATATTAATGTATACTGAACAGCTGAAGTTGAGAGCAATTTGTTGTTAACACCTTGATTGCCAAATTTGTAAAAGCATGGAACTGCTTTCTCCCCTAAGACACTGTAGCCTGCTGCCTTCTAGCGTGCTAATAAGGCGCCATCAACTAAGAAATAAACTCTCTTGACCTTACTCGGGTTAATCTCTGCCCCTCAGTAGAAGCGCCAGGCACCTGGGTTTAAGATTAACATGTCTGGTCCATGACAAAAGAGACCCTTGGTTAGTGGAGCATCATGAGATGTATTAGGTGTCCGCAGTACGCCTGTCATACTAACAGTATTTAAATATGTGCACTTAATCCAAAAGCATATGAATAGCTACTGTTACAATACCAGCTTCATTCATGAAAGCAATTCACTAACGTTGTTTTAAGGTTGCTAAGCCTCCTGCTGCCCCAGAGAACAAAGTGAGGCTCATCAAGAACAGGCAGTGGAGTAAAAAAAACAAAAACAAAAAACACGGTGTTGAGAGGAGACCAGTCTGACCAGTCAATAAGAGAGCTACAAGAAATTTCCCACCTGACAGAGAGCTTTCTCTATGCTCTCTATGGCTTCCAAGCACTTGAGGTTCCCATCTGTCCAGGCTGGTCTCCACTCTTCCCCAGGCTGACTCCTCTCAGCTCCCTGACCACCACCTTAGGTTGCACCTTTTTCTGAGATGTTGCTCCCCACCCCTTCAGTGCCCCCTCCCCATCCCCATTCATTCCCTAAAAGCACAAGTCAAAGCCACAGTCTGGTTACTATAGTCACCATAGGTATTTCCCCTATACCGGTCTGACGGCTGAGATCCTATAGGGAGATTACACACACCTTGTCAGACCTTGTATCTGGAACTCAGCTGGGTCAACCAAAGCAAAGGCAGTCATTCTGATTCTTCTCAATCCCCAGTTTCTCCTGCCAGTGAAGTTAGCAGCCAAACAGCAAAGATGTTCTCCTACTGTTTGGAGCACAAGCAAAGAAACCCTCAGTGTACAGAAGGTCTGGGTTCAGATCCCTGCGCTATCATTAACTCAGTGGATGAACTGAAGCAAACCACGTCAGTCTCTCCAAATCTCAATCTGAAAATCAGGCATAGAAAAGTGTGCCTACGTCACAGGGTTGTGGTAGGAATGGAAGGTAATGCTCGAAGAACCGAGCCCAGAACCTAGCACTTGCTCAGTATTCCAGAACCGAGCCTCTCTGCTCATGAAGACAAACACCTACCCAAAGATGAATGAAAAACAGGACACTCTCAGTCAGCTGTGATGTCTCATACCTGTGAGCTCAGCACACAGAAGGCTGAAGCAGGAGGATTTCTAAGGGTTAAGAATAGCCTGGGCTACAAAGATCCCCTTGTCTTAAAGAAAGAAAGAACGAACAAAAGGGAATGGCAGGGAAAGGGGAAGGAAAGGAAGAAAAGGGGAGGGGAGGGAAGGGGAGGGGAGAGGAGAAAAAAAGAAAGAAATCTCATACAGAATGGCAAACAGGACAGACACCAGCAGCGGTAGAAGAGAAGAAACAAGATGGGAGACCACTATAGAGGGTCCTCTGAAAGGATCCACCCAACAGGGGATCAAAGCAGATGCTTAGACACAGGACCAAAATTTGGGCAGAGTGCAGGGAGTCTTATGGAAGAAAGGGGTGTGGGGATAGAGGAACATGGAGGGGATATGAGCCCCATAAGGAGAACAACAAAACTAAAAGATCTGAGCCCAGGGCATCCTGCAGAGGCTGATGCACCAACCGAGGACCATGAATGGAGAGTACCTAGAAACCCTGCTCAGATGTGGCTGACTGGCAGCCCAGTCCCCATATGGATCTCTGAGTGAGGGGAGCAGGGGCTGCCTCTATCATGAACTGGGTTGCCTGCTCTCTGATCACTCTCCCTGGGTGATGCGGCCTTGCCAGGCCAAGGAAGAAGATCCAGGCAGTCCTGATGAGACTTAACAAGCTATGGGCAGATGGCAATAGTGGAGAACTCCCCCTTTCAGTGGACTAGGGGAAGGGGATAAGATGAAGTGGGAGGGAGGGTGGGACTGGGGAAAGTTGAGGGAGGGGGCTTCAGTTGGGATATATAATGAATAAATTATGAAGAAAAATTTAAAAAAAAAGAAAACATTTTTAAAGAAAAAGTACATGGGGATGGGGAGATGGCTTAGTGGGTAAGGGTACTTACTTTGCAAACATGAAGGCCTAAGCTCAAATCCCCAACATTCACGTAAAAAGCCAGGCATGGCTATAACCCCAGTGGTGGAACATAAAGACAGAGGGACCCTGGGAGCTAGCTGGCCAACAAGCCTGGCAGAAATGGAGAGGTTCAGGTTCAGTGTGAGACTCTGTCACAAGGCAACAATGTAGAGAGCAATAGAGGAAGACACCCAATGTCTTCCTCACAGCTTCTCTGTGGAGGCATGCATGCGCACGCACGCGCACACACACGCACACACACACACTCACATGCATGCACTGCAGGAATTCAAAGAAATACACATGAAGAATTAGACTCATTGAGAACCTGCTGCAGTAGATTGGTAATTAGCTCAATTTCTCTAAACGGAAAACTCCAAAAGCCAAAACGTGGCAGCTATGCCCTGGATCTTCTTGCTCAAACTCAAAGCCTGTCACCTTAAGTAAATACCAGCCAAAAGTTCAGGCCAATCGTCTAGAAGATTTGGGGAGATGAATGAACAGAATAAACAGAAATAAAACTTCATATGGGAAGGAGAGGTATAGCTCAGTGGTAAAGCATTTTCCTGGCAGGCCCTGTGGTCAAAAGTATACATCAGGCTTTCTGCAGCTCAGTGGTAGATGGGTTCAATTTCTACCACAGGAAGGAATGGAGGGAGGGAATAAAAAAATAAATAAATAAAGTTACTTTGAACATAAAAAAGAACACATGACAGCAACATTTCTTCTCTCTGTACTACTACTTCCAAAAAGTAAAATAAAATTGGCTGAACACTTAAAGAAAACACAGTTTAAGGGATCTGATTGCTTAAAGCTGAGTTAAACAGATCAGCTGCATCAATCATTTTCGCTGTTAATAACCTGAGTCTACGGGAGCACATTTCAGAAGAGCAGGGCAAAGGTCACCTGAGCTTCCCCATCCTGATGCTGCCGCCCTATGAATGTGCGACAGAGAACTGGAAGCCATCTATCAACAGCACAGTTCTCATATGAGACAATGGCATATTCAGAGTCAGTGACCTCATAAGATTCTTAAGATAGGTATTACCAGAAAAAAAACTACACAGCCGTCTGCGGTGTCACACGCCTTCAACCCCAGCACTCAGGGAGGCAGAGGCAGGTAGATCTCTTAGCTTGAGGCCAGCCTGGTCTACAAAGCAAGTCCAGGACAGCCAAGGCTACACAGGGAAACACTGTCTAAAAAAGCCAGAAAGCCAGAAAAAAAAAAAAAAAAAAGACTGCACTTTTTCAGCCAATTTTACTGAAGAAATGGAAAATTAGAAATATTCTCTTTCAATGTCACCTGCTCCAGATTTGTTCTAAAACACTTGAGAGGGAAAAAAAATCTGTAGAAGGGAACAGATAAATTAGCCATATTGGCAAAACACTCAGAGATGTTCGAGTTAAATGACAAACTAACTGAATTCGACATAATACTCTGCTCTGATTTTGCATGTTTGCAATTTCCCACGGCAAAATGATGGAAAATATCCTGCCACGCCGCGTACAATGCTGCATGCCTACCGTCCAAGTACACAGAGGCCTGGGGCATGGGGATTGCTGCAAGGCAGAAGCCAGCCGGGCTACAGCAGCGAGACTTTCACTCAAAAACAATCAGGCAAACACACAAACTCTCCACATGCACTGGCTTTATTGGGGGTGGGAGGTAGTTTCTTCTTTAATCTTGTTAAGGTTTATTTTATCTTCTGTATATGTGTGTGTTGTGCCCGCCTAAGTGTATGCCCTGTGCATGCACAGTGCCTGCAGAGGCCAGAAGAAGGCGTTAGATCCCCTGGAACTGGAGCTACAGATGGTTGTGAGCTATCATTTGGGTGCCCAGGCTCTCTGCAAGAGTGACAAGCGCCCTTAACCACTAAGCCATCTCTCCAGGCCCTATTTTCTTTTATTTTTTGAGATGATATCTCACATAGCGGTGTTGGCTAGCCCAGAGCTCACCATATATGTAGCACAAGATGGCCACAAACTCAAGACAATCCTCCTTCCTCTGGACGGCCAGATCCCCAGGGAAGGCAACAGGTGCGCTGTTCACGCTCTCAAGTCATTAGCCCTCCGACGACTTAATACGTGTAACACTTGAGAACATTTTGTTAAACCAACAAGACAAGAATTCCTTAAAATACTCCAGAAGACTGTGTAAACAAAGTCACGCAAGCAGCCTCGGTGCCAGTTTCAACCTTCAACAAGGAAAGAGCCCAGTGAACCTAAGAAACTAGTCCTCAGCCTCCTGAAGAAAAGATCAAGCAGCAGAAGAAAGGCGGGGTGAAGTGCAGAGGGGGGAGGGGAGAAGATGCTTGGCTGACACAAAAGTGACCCGACACTCACCAGCACTTTGTTCTCCACTCGGTCTCCTTTCACTTCCAACTTCACTTTCTTCTGCACAGAGATTTTGATCTTTCTGCCAATAACATCCTTTATGCTTTCTGAAAGAAAGAAGAAGTTTCATTATATCCTTTCTTTAGCAAGGAAAAGGGGCATCAGTGCCGAGCAGGCGTTTGGAGGGGTGAGTCTAGCTGGTTTTATTGTTGGCGCTTTCCTTTCCTTTGGCTTGATTAACAAGCCTGATGGTTGTCAGGCATCAAGAGGTTTTTGTTTTGAGGCAGAGTCTGGGAACCAAATTCAAGTCCTCTAACTGCTGAGCCGCCTCTCCGGTTCCAGATATTAAAGTCTTGGCAACAGTGGGCTGTGGTGTAGCTCGGTGGTAGAGCCCTTGCCTGTTATAACCGAGGTCCTGAGATCAATCCCCACTCCCACCTCCGTTTGGCTTGATGGTTCCTGCCTGTAAGTCCCAACTCTTTGGCGGGATTGAGGCAGATGAATCAGTTCAGTCTCATAAACCAACACAAGCCTGTGTGATAAAACAAGAAAACCCTGTCTCGAATATTATTTTTCTATTTGTTTATATTTACCTATTTTTGATAGAAATTTCAACATCTGTTAGTCACCGGGATAAACCTGGAGGATTCTGGGAGATGGAAACGTCCATTCAAAGAACCAGATTGACACTGAGACCCCCTCAAATGCTATAGTCAAAGAAGGGCTCTTTCCTTTTCTGCTCATGGATGTCAAGGTCAGGGAAAAGGAGGAATTGGAAAGGAAAGATTTCAAAGTTTGGAAGAAAGAGTATGCCTTCCTGTGACTCTCATGAGCTGCCCAACCTGAACCTGTCCCAAATCAAACTCAGTGTCATCTTCACTGGCCACTATGTCAGACACCTTGCCTTTCTCCAGCTCTCTGAGAGAATTAGGTGTAAATCTCCCCCAAAATCCATTGCTGCACAGATCCTGAGCCCCATGGACGACTGCAAGAAGACCCTTCGCATCTCACCCAAAATCTACCCCTGGCCTTCTTAACCACAGGGGCCTTAGTGAACCTTGAGTGCACCTCTCCAGGCTGGAGGCAAGGTCATTTGAAGAAGAGTCCAGTGCCTGCAGGACACAGGTCTCACATTTCCTAACTCCATTTCTCAGTACATACAAAAGGGTATTCTTCAAACCCCAGCTCCCTATTCTAGGTTTTCATAGCTCTCTATTCTGTATGATAGGCATCTTGACTTTTCGGGGATTGAGCAGCCCTGTTATCTCTTTGATGGTTACCATCTAGCAAAAGCCACTAGAGATACCACTAAATGAATCTTCACCCAGCACACCACATAGATGGAGTAGACGGTGCAGACGGAGTTTTGGAACAGAAGAACTTTGAGCTGAATACTCGGGAAACGAGCCTCTCTGGGTTCCATAGTGAGGTGTCCAATATGGTCCACTAAGGTGATGAATTTTTACTCTGTACAATGTAGATGTTCTAGTTTATAAGGACTAAAGTACACTATGCTAGGCAACAGCTAGGCAGCAGGTGGAGAAAAGGTGAGAGAGGGAAAGAGAAGGCTGAAAAAGAGACTGCGGCTCAAGGAGGCAGAATTAGGAGAGGGTGCCTGTGGGGGGACTGGGCACTGACTGGGAGCTCGCTGTCCAGCTACTCTCCTCAGAACCCAAAGCAACAAGTATTACCCCACTAAGAGGCTTGTGGGAAGTGGGGCCACTGAAACTCGCTTATTACATGCACATAAAAGGAAAGAAAGGTCACAACCCCCAAGATAAAAGCAGCTTCTGGGTGGTGATAAGGGGCATATGATAAATATTCTTGTTCTCTCTCTCTCTCTCTCTCTCTCTCTCTGAGACAGGGTCTCTCTGTGTAGTCTTGACTAGCCTGGAACTCATTGTATAGACCAAGCTGGCCTTAAGCTCACAGATATTCACTTGCTTCTGTCTTTCCTGTGCTAGGATTAAAAGTGTGGGCCACTCTCTCTCTCTCTCTCTCTCTCATCTCTCTCTCTCTCTCTCTCTCTCTCTCTCTCTCTGTCCTTCATTTAAAACAGTTCCACAATAGCCAAGAAGTGCTCACACATGTAAACTGGCATTCCGGAGACTGAGGCAGGAGGGAGAGTGAGACTAGTTTAAGGCCAGAATCGACTACATAGTGCGTTGGTAACCATCCAGGGCTACAAGACTCCCTAGCTTAAAAAAAAAAAAAATCTTAATCAGAAAGATACATTATACACAGCTTACACACCTTAAAAGAGAGAGAAGTTTAGGAGAATACAGTGAGACCTTTGCAGTCCGCCTTTTTGAAATGATCAGCAGAACTCTTGTGAGCTCCTGAAACTAGACCCAACCTGCAAGTACCCCCACCACAGCCTAACTGGACCACGTAAAGGCCTAGAACAAAACGCTATCAGGCAAATCACAGAAGGTAGAGAGATACACCAAATGGTTTAGCCAGAGAAAGGTCCTGCTGGCCACTGCCCTTCCAAAATCACCAGTACACGATTCTGAATAAACACAAAACTTCCTTTCAAAAGAAGGGTCAAATTCTCCCTTTAAGCATACTAGAGTGAGGAGAACCACTGACAGACAGCAGAGCCTTTTTTACTTCAGCGTTCACACCTTATCTTTAGTCTAAATCGCCTGAACTTCGGGTCCCAGGACAATACTACACAATTTTCTAAAAATCGACTACCCTCGGAGACATCTTTGGAGCCTCCAGGGCCGGTTTCCGGTTCTCCTGTTCGGGCAGGGTATTGGAAACACCCAGAACCGGATGGGCCACTCACTCACTGATGTCTCAGAGAGACTTTGAGGGTTGAGGAGAGGGCCTGGGACAAAATAGGGGGTGTGCAAGAATACCTCACTCAGATGTTTTGTTGTGGTGGTGGCGGCGCCGTGTTTTCAATTCCACAAAAGCAGGGCTCCATACAAAACCAGCCACAGCTTCTTCCCGCCAAGTTTCACCTGCAGAGTGAGCAGTTTTGCGGGAGGGGGGGGGCGGAGGAGAGGAGGCACCAAGTCCTCTCAGGTATCAACTCTGCAAAGCACCGCAGAGGGGCAAATTCCAGACTGACGCTGAACCGGCGGTGAGAACTTTCCCTCCTGGTCGGCACCCAGCGAACATCTGGGCGCCTAATGTGCCCAGTACGGTATCGCGAGGAATACTGGTCACTAGGGCTACAAGCATGTCGGTGCAGTCACGTTCACCTTAGTGCAAGCCAAAACCTACTCCACACGAGAATGAGCGCGGGTTCCCAGCACTCCCGGCCCATCTGCCTTCTGCCATTTATCCTTTCCAGATAAAACTAAGCCCCAAGATTTAAATTCCAGTCAATGCTCTCTCCACCCTCCCTCCGCTCCAAAAGAGGGCACCCCATCCCCCGCCCAACAACGGCCTCTAGCAACTGGTCACCCGGCACAGGGTACCACACACGTGTTCCCGAAGAGACTGAGGGTGGTCAGTAGATTAATCATGATATCATTAACTCTGTTTCCTGACACGCAGGAGGCGTCAGCCGGGTAACCCTCTCGCTTCCAGATCAATTCCCCAATGCCACGCCTTGCCAGGCCGGGTCCCGACGCTGTGCGGGCGCCTCCATCCCTGAGGCCGTCACCGACAGGGGCAGCCCCAGACGGGAATTTCCTGGAGGGTGCCTGCAGCAGCCCGAGGGGACCTACGACGCTGTCGCCAGGCATCCCCCTGCTAGGCTTTCCCGGACTTTCCAGAGTTTGAGGCCGCGGGGTTGGCGGCTGGAAGGGACGCCCCTCCAGCTCCGTCTTCCGCCAACCTGACCCACCTGGTGGGGCAGGGCAGGGCGATCCCCGTGGAGCCCTCCAAGGGCTCCCGATCCCTCCCCACGCCCTCCCCTCTCTGCACCAAGCTCCCGCGGCCACCAGGCCGGCAAACTTCTGGGAGCCCCCACCCCCCGCCCCCCGCTCCGGCGACCCTACCCCACATCGCTCGCGCACGAGGGCGCCGGACTCTGCGGGAGGACGGAGGTGGAGAGGGACGCGGAGAGGAGGTGTGCGCAGAGGAAAATGGCCAGTCGGCCACCGCGCCAGGCTTACCCATTAACTCCCGGGGGACATCGGAGCTCTCGTCGGTCATGGTTGCCCACTGGGCGCGGGGAGATCCCGGGTCCCACTCTGAGTCTCGGCCCCGCGCCCCTTCCTCAGACCCTTTAATGTTTTCGCCAGGAAACCGCAGCTTGCAAGGAGAGAGTGGGCCGGAGCAGCGGGGCGTTGATCCAAGGTTGCCGCGCGCCCGCAGTACCAAAAAGAAAAAAAAAAAAAATCCTCAGAGTTGCAAATCTGAGCTGGCTCTGCGGCCGCCTCTACATGCCGCCGGCTGGGCTCGGAGCTCCGGGGACCGAACGCAAGGCGGCTGCAGCACCGGCTCCTCCCGGGCGGGCGCCGCGCAGCCCGGCTTCTGCGCCGCACCTTGGGCGTAGGTGAAGCGGAAGGCGAGGGCTGGGCCGCCCGGCTGGTCTCCGGCCTCCTGCGGGCTGGGCTGGGCAGGGGCGGGCCGGCCCTGCTCTCCTCCTTCCCCTTCTCCCGCTCCTCCTCTCCTTCACCCTCTCCTGCTCCTCCTCCTGGTCCCCCTGCGTCTCCTCCCCGCCTCGCGAGAGCGGCCTCCGCATGGGTCCCCGGCCGGCCTCCGGGCCTGGGCGCACGGTGCCCGGCGCGGGGCACAGCCCGGGGACCGACGCGGCGCTCGGCTGCGGTGGCTGCTGTCTTGACTGCTGCGGCGGCCCCGTGCTCGGCGCCCCTCCTCGCAGCCTCGCTCCAGCGCAGCAGGCGCTTGCGTCTGGAGGGAGGTCGACAGAACCGTAGAGAGAGCCCGAGAGCCATCTGCTGGCTGCCAGCGAGCAGGGTCGGGGCTGCGCGGGGCCCTGTTCCCAAATCCGGAGGAGCCAATGGATCGTGAGGCCGGTGACTGCGGAGCCCGGCGGATGCTGCAGAGCACCCTGTACGGGAAGCTGGTGCTGTCCGGGATCCTTCCGTGCACTTCTTGATCTTAGGCCCTCCCGAGCGCGGTGTCCGTGCACCCGCGTTATTAATTCGCCGTCTATGGCGATCGAAAGCTACACGCAATCGACAGACAACCGTAAAATGACAAGGACAGGGGGCTTCTTTGGAAAATGTCTTTTGATAGCGACCCTGTCTCCCTCGGGTCAAATCCGAGCGCCAGACGCGGTTCCCAAAAGCCAGGATATTCCGGTTGCTAAATTTGGTTCTACCCAACCCCTCCACCTTCCCAGAGGAAGGATCTGGGATTCGAGAGTACTTGTGTGCACGTCCATCACCAGCAGCTGGGAATGCCCCTGACTGACCAATCGACTTCAAAGGGCAGAAAGAAAGAGAGAAAGAGAGAAAGAAAGAGAGAAAGAAAGAAAGGAAGGAAGGAAGGAAGGAAGGAAGGAAGGAAGGAAGGAAGGAAGGAAGAAAGAAAGAAGAGAGAAAGAAGAGAGAGAGAGAAAGAAAGGGAGAAAGAAAGGAAGAAAGAAATTGTATGTGGGGAGGGAAAAAAAGGAAATCTCCTGTACTTGACACCTTAATTGTTGTTGTTGCATTTGTTGGTTGGTTGATTTTTAAGAGAGACTTTCACCACGTAATCCTGGTTTGTCTGTACCTCGCTCTGTAGACCGAGCTTGCCTCGACAGCAAAGATCCACCTGCCTCTGCCTTCCAGAGTCCTGGGATCAAAGGTCAGCATCTCAATGTTAGTTTGTTGTTGTTCTTGGTCTTGTTTTTTGTTTGTTTGTTTTGTTTTCCTTGTTCTTTTTTTTTTTTTTTAAACATACCTCGGTGGTGGCCATTGGCCATAGTTCTCCTGCCTCAGCCTCCGGGGTGTTAGGACTTCGGGGCTGAGTTGGTAGACTGCTATGGACTTTGCTTTCCTAAGCATGATGTTTAGTTTCTACTGTTAGGTTTCCTCTGGAGTACTGTTGGTGGAGTTCTTTCCCTGAGAAGACTGTAAACAAACACCCTCCTTTTAGGGCTCCAACCACAGAGTTTGATTCCGCCAAAGTCCATCTTGGACAACCCGTAGGATTCCTGAACTTAACACGGAACATGTGTGAGGGGTTACTGACGGGAGCGTGGGCGACCCGAAGCAGACACATACCCTTGGTGGATGGAGATCTCCTCCCAGCTGTGCAAACGGAGTCCCCCGTTCAGTTAGGAGTCTACGCTTCATACACCCTAGCACTCTAAGACCACAAGGCCACAGGAAATGGGGTCTAGAAGAAAGCAGTTGGAATCTCAAGTAAGTTCCTATGGACTCTCCCAACCTTTCCTCCAACAGTCAACAGATTTCTTAGAAGTAACTGACCACTGTTCTAATGAAAATGGTGGCTGTTGTGCTGTGATGGTGCCTTCTACAACAGACACTCTGAGATGGCTGGCCCTTCTCACCCGGTTCACCCTATTTTGAATCAGACAGCCAGACTCCATTCTTTCGTAACTTCCTATTACCGTGCATGTACATACTGGGCCAGCTGGGGTTTGTGGAGGTCAGAGGGAAACCTGCGGAATCAGTTTGATCCCTCTGCTCAGGTTCTCTGAGAAAGGCCTTTGCCAGCTGAGCCATCCCCCGATCCCCCAGACTCCGCTCTGTCCCAGATTCTCTCTGGCCCTTATCTGCTTCTTACTGTTTACAAACCCACTGTTTGTGTACCTTCCTGGTAAAACTTCTACAGGACTTTTCGGAGCTCTGAGATTCCTAAGACTAAAACACACTCACCAGCCCAAACATCCAAGGCCCTTTCTTCATTTTTATGTCTTTGTCCAGTTTCACCCTTTAACCCTCAGCCCTGGATTGGGGTCGGGAGGGGAGCATTGATTGTTTCCTAAACTAAGCAGTGGGGAATTTGAAGGCAGGAAATATAGAAACTATCTGTGTGTTATTAGGGATTGAACCCAGGGCCTCTTCCACACTGCCAGAGGGACCTTTGCAAAGGTCCCTTACCTCAGGGACCTGCGTAAGGCAAGTATCCAATACACCGCTGGTTAGCCTGAGCTTTCTACCTCAGACCTTTAACTCTGTTAGTAAAGTTGCCAATCTGTTTAAACCATGTTTTTCCTTAATATATAACTGCTTTCCCCCTGCAGTGGGTGGGAATTACCACTCAAAACCATCCAGTGAGGTTTCAAAGAGAGCCCCGAAGGCTCCACACAATAGGGAACTCGTGAAAATAGGAGCAAACACTGTTGTTCCTTTGGCCTGGAGTGGTGCAAGGTGAAGGAAGGCCAAGGGACAGCCCTGTCATCCAGGACAACTCCTCCACTTCTCCATTTTATTGATATTTTTGTGTTTAAAAAAAAATTTTTTTTAGATTTTTTTTAAGATTTCTATTATATGTGTGTGTGTTACCCACTTGCATATTAATGCACCAGGTGAGTGCAGTGTGCCTGAAGAAGCCGAAAGAAAATGTGAGACCTCCCTCCACCACTCCCGCCGACCTCTCCACATCCCCCCTCCCCAGGACTGGAGTTATTATGGAGAGTTGTGAGCCGTCATTCGGGTGCTGGTAGATGAACTACAGTACCTTAGAAGAATAGCTAGTGCTCTTAACTGACAAGTCACACACACACACACACACACACACACACACACACACCCGCCACACACACACCCTTTTGGCATTTTGAGACTAGGTGTCATGAGTATCCCAATCTGGTCTCCAACTTAATATGTAGGCGGGGGTGACCTTGAACTCTCAATACTCCCATCTTTACTTCCATGCTGAGGCTATAGGCACACAGCATCCTGTCTAGTTATATGGTATTGTAATGGTAGGGAAAGGAGATACATTCCATAACTGGTGAGGACAACTCACCTGTGCTCCTTACGCTCTACTCCTTGCACAAACACTCAACTTACCGTTCCATCCACATGCACCTGACAAAATACATGAAGGAGGTGAAAGTTTGGCATAACCAAAAAAAACCCATGGGCAATTTGGTTCAGAAAATGAAATAAATATATCTTTTTCATGGTTTATCAATAAAGTTAGATTTGTCAAGAGACTTTTTTTTTTTTTTTCCAAAGCCAGAGTGCTCTCTGAATGGAGAACTTGAGACTTCCAGGCCAAGGTTCATTTCACTGGAGTATTTGTTCCCCTTTGCTGGGTTCCTGGGCTTGACTCCCAGGAAGTGTAGAAGTGACTGGGCCTGCCTTAGTAACTGGACTTTTAGGGCAGAAGCCTGGGCTCTGGCATTTGCTCAAGCTGAGCTTGGCACCAATCCCAATGTGCCAATTAAACAGACAAGGTATGGGGAAAAGCATAGAGGGGAGATTGATTATTACCACACTGGGAAGAAAGATTGGTTAACTTGGGGTACTCTCATGATCTTTAGTGGGGTGTGTGAGTTTTGTTGTCGTCATTGTTTTTTGAGTCAGTGTCTCACTGTCCTGGAACTCACTACGTAGCTTAGGCTTGTTTCAAACTCAGAGCTATCCTCCTGACTCAGACTCCTGAATTCTGGAATTACTAGCTTGAGCCACTGCAAGCATTCAAGGCATGAGCTTTAGGTTAAAAGAGAGGAAGAATTAGCATAAGAAACCCAGGTTGGGGTGTGGCCCTGCCTCATAGCCTCAGATCTGTTCATCCCTATCAGGACCAGAAGGGGTCCAATCTTGTGTTCTTAAAAGATCTACTACAGGATGTAGCTTCTCACTTCAAGGACAATTTGCCCTGCAGACTCCATGTAGTTGGGGTGGAGGGAGTGAGGAAGGGGGGCTTTGGTCCTTTGTCACAAAGGTGTTTATAGATCAGTCCTATTGATTGGCACCCAAAATGACTCCAAGGGAAAAAAGTAAGAGACAGACAGTGACTCATCTCTGTGGCTCCAGCATGGCCAAGGGATAGGATGGGTTATATATTAATCACTTTTCCTCATTGCTGTGACCAGCTACCTGACAAAAAGCAAGCGAACAGAAGAATTTCTTTTGGATCAGAGTTTGAAAGGATACAGCCCGTCACGATGGGAGTCATGGCTGAAGAAATATGAGCTGGCTCTTCAAGTTGTGTCCATAGTCTGGAAGCAGAGACCTAGATATTGTTGCGCAGCTGGCTTTTTCCACTGGATAGTGCCAGCCACATCACGGCTTGGCTCTCCCTCACTTAAACCTCTCTAGGAAGGCTCTCAAAAACATGCTTAGAATCTCCTGTGTCATTCTAAACCCGGTAGACAATAAAGACAGGCAGAGTCAAGAAGAAACCTGACCCCACACGAAGGAAACAGACTCAAAATGAGGGCAGGGGTGCCAGGCTTTCCACCTGACTATAGTGGTCATGTGTAGTCAGAAACAATGTCAGTGTTTAGCAAAAGCAGATTCTAGGCTTTAGGTTCTGAAGGAGGGAGAAGAGAGGTTGTTTAAGGAGAGAGGAGCTAAGTTGAACTGTGTCCTTCAAGCAAGAGGCTTGTTACCATTTCGGTGGGTAATGCAGTGGGGGCAGGGGGCTCTGAAAAACCTGTTCAGTCCCCACTAGACAAAGCAAGAATGCTGTCTTTAAAGGTCTCCAGGGATGGAGAGGCCTACAGCACAAGGAAACAGGCTGAGTCAATAGGTGGCCTGTGCTGTGAC